GCCCATTACGGTGATTTTTGTCCTAGGCTATTCCATTGTTGCGTTTTCGGTCCTACCTTCTTACCAAATGGTAATTTCGGTTTAGAGATCGTCCACTAAGGGGTGATTTCGGTCTTGGGGGTATTTTTTTTAATGTGTGGTTTTGTTTATGGTTTGTTGATTTTCAAGGTCAATTACGACATGGTTTCCTAAGTATAGATATTATATCAACTTATAAAAACAATGCCTTCTTGGTTTGTAATATTTTATTGCCACAAACTACGTTGTGAATTCACTTGCACATGGTTACAATTTAGACCTTGTTTGATCTAAATTTTTAGGTTGTCACATCATCGCCCTGTTAAAGAGAATTTCGTCCCAGAATTCGTATCTTGAACGGGTTCTTGGTAGCCTTAGGGAAAGGTTGTGGGTCTTTTCGTTTCATTTGATTCTCGTGTTACCAAGTGAATTTGGGCCCTCGCTTGACGTCCCAGCGGACCTTCGCAATTGGTATTTGACTTTGCTTCGTTCTTTTGATTTCCCTGTCCATGATCCCCACATGTTCATCTTTGGGGTGTAGGTTCTTATTTACCTTGATTTCGTCGAGCGGGACTACATGAGTTTTGACGGTCAGATACTTCTTAGGGATGGACGCGTTGAATGTGGGATGTATAATGTTGAGTTCTTGTGGTAACCAAAGCCTATAGGCTACTAGGCTGATCCTGGTGAGGATCTCGAATGGTCTAATGAAATAACATCCCGACTCCCAGGTATTACATTTATTTATTTATTTATTTATTTATTTATTTATTTTTGAGATTTAATGAGTGACTCAACGAGTTGTGTGTTCGACTCGTCGAGTAGAGTTGGATTTGAGTACGCGAGTTTAATGACCGACTTAACAAGTCAGAGAGCCAACTCTCCAAGTTGGCGCTGTGTGAGGAAACCCTAAATCCTCGGGTTTGTAACCTAATTAAAGGGCCTTAAGACCTCATTTTCTCCTCACCAATCACCTTACACCCTTGAGAGAAACCATAATCGTCCACTTGAGCTAAAGAGTGAGAGGGGAGCTAATCTTGTGGTTATTAGTGCAATTTTGAAAGAGAATGGGAGAGTATCAAAGCTTGGATCAAGAGGAGGCTTTGGACCTAGAATTTCATCAGAGTTTTGCTTAAGTTGGAGGTAAAAAGATGCTAACTTGATCATTCCCTTATAAGATCTTGGTTTAGGGAGTTTCTAGGGTTTTCTCCCATCCCTTTTATGTCATTTGAGTCCTTTGAGCATCATTTGAGGTTGAAACCTCAAATCTGGAGTGGAGGAGGTCTTGTGAGTCCAAAGATCCAAGCTTTATTGAGCTAGAAACAAGATCTTGTGCATCTAACCCTTGTTAGAGCTTGTATTCGCATTATGGAGCAAATTTTCCATGCATGAACGTAAAGATCAAAGCTTTATGTCATAATCGAGCCTTAAGAGGTCAGATTTGGAGTATGGGGCATGGGTTCTGCCTAAAAACGTCTGAATGAGAATTTGACTTAAGGGACTCGACGAGTCAGCTAGGGTTTCCCCCGATGAGTATGGACATGGGTAACTCGGCGAGTTGATGAGACAACTCGACGAGTTAAGTTGGGTTTTCGCGATGTTCTGAAGGAGCAATGGGGACTCGACGAGTCACATAGATGCACTCGGCAAGTCAGGTCAACATGGATAGTTGACTCGAGTGTTGATTTCTGTTGACTTTAGGGTTTGGTCAAGGCAGGGGATTTGGGGACCATGGAGGGGTAAAATGGTCTTTTACCCATTCCAAGAGTTTGAGAGAGAGAATAACCTAGCTTATTTCGAGTTGCGATTTAAGTGTTAATTAGAGATTATTATCTTATGTGTTAGGTGAAGGCTAGTTCGAGATTCATGTACGAGATTGTTACTTGCCTGCTTACGAGGTGAGTCTTCTCACTATACTTGCCTAGAGTGGTAACCTTTGTGTGACCAAAAGGTCTTATGTGCTTATTTTGAGTATTGTGATATCTTGCATTATGTCTTTGTGATTTATGTTATGTGTTATTCTGAGCTTACTAAGTTAGGACCGGAGGATCCACCTAAGTTGTGGGACCGGAGGATCCACCTAAGTTGTGGGACAGGAGGGTTCCACTGAGACACACTGACCGGAGGGTCTTATTTGAGTATAGTCATGAGAGGCTAATGAGATGTGTGTCGTATTTTAGGGAACTCACTAAGCTTTGTGCTTACTGTGTTATGTGTTTCAAGTACTGCTCAGGATCACGAGAAGGCACCGACTTGATTGTATACACGAGGCGGAGTTACATTTTGAGGATCTTGGATTGTGTTTAAAGCATTTCTGAATATGTGTTTTGAAAACATTATCATTTGGCGGTTTTGTGAACTATGTTATGAGAATTATGTGATTTTTAAAATGAAATTTTTGTTTGAAAATTTACGGAGTTACAAGTTGGTATCAAAGTCTTGGTTTGAGGGATTCGGAACCTTCGGGTGTGTCTGGACTCAAACTGAGGATTTGAGAAAAAATTTCAAAAGAAATGATTTTTTCTAAAAATGAGAAAGATTTTAAGAGAAAAATGATTTTTTCCTATGGTTGAGAAAAACTTTCAGTCTTTCTATACATTCAAAATTATATTTGTTGGGAAGAAAATAGTTTTATTCAATCTTATAATGCTTCCTTTTCTAATTTGTCATTTTAGAACCAAAATTTTAAATAAATCACAACATCAAGCAGTTTAACAGTGGTTTTAATTTTGGTACAATACTCAGATAATCGAAGAATCTTCAATGACAATGTTATGCAATTCATTGTCTAATTATATAACTTTCGATTCCTTATTTGAAAAAAAAGGTTTTCGAGTTGAGTCAACAAAACAAATGCATTTTCTTTCCTTTTCAAAGACATTTGAAGAGAGATGGGAAAAGGTTACTATGAATTCACATCTTGACGATGTTGTCAATTCATTCACATGTCCATGTTTGAAGAGGCGGAATCTTTGTGTTCTTTGAGATGATCAACGACACGGAAACCATAAAAATGGGTTTCGAAGACTTCCCTCCACGCATGATAATTTATACGATCGAATCTAGTATAAGAGGGATCGAAGTGCAAATGTTTGCAATACTGTAAGGCTCCTTGATGAGATGGCTTGAGGTTTGGATACATCTTCCATTGTGAAGTCTAAGGAAAAGTAAAGATGATATGATATCTAGAAAAGAGAGGGCAAAAATGATGATCAACTGGGAAGAAGGAAACACTTACAATTTAGGGTTTATAAAAGATGAAGGAGACGATTTAGGAAGGGATGTGTGTGGATTGCTCTAATACCATGTGCGTAGGATAATTTTCTCATCTCAATAAATCAAAATACATAAGAATTAATTTTCTCATCTCAACAAATCAAAATACATAAGAATTACAATGTGCGCTTATACAAAATACATACACATGCCCTTTATAATAGACAACACGAATATAAATAAATATACACTAACAGCCACCTCACACTACTCGTCATGACGAACTCTTTGTCATTAAAGATAGAGATTACATCGTGAAGATGTACTACTTCATCTTCTAATTCAGCAATATTTTTCTAGTTATTAGAATTCTTTTTATGGAAGTCACTATAATCTCAATATTTTAGGTAAATTTATGATATAGTCCCAAATTATATTTTGTTTACAAAAAAAGAACATAATATCGACTAAAACTTTGGAATAACCCTTTTGGTCGATTTTGTAGATTTAGCCAGTATCCGGTATTTTATCGTTAATTCAGTCAAAATCTTGGAACTTTTTTGAAGATTACCCTTGAACTAATATATATAATTCTATTAACAAATTGTTTATAAATATAACACATTTTTTTATTATAAAAAAATACAATTGTTTCTAATTTCTAGAAATGAAAAGGTGGACTAAGTATCAAAATTATTTGTTGACAACTTCAAACTTTCCACTTCTTTTATGTATCATTATGGGTGGAAGTGAGATGCACTATGTGGGTGTCTCATATTGGTGTTGATCTTAAGTTCTTTAACTTAACTGCCACATAGCCTACACACCTTACATGTCATTCAAGGTTGACTTTTCACTCATAGTAGATGTGTGTTATTTGATGCTTTTTATGGAGGTTTAATGGTAGTTAGATTAAAGAACATAAGAGTAACACAAACATCAAAAGATCACCCACAAAATGCATCTCAACATGACACCATAACGATGCATAAGAGAAAAGTTTGACTTAAAACATACATATGCATGCGTACACGTACCTTACACATACACGCATAAACATACACATGAATACATATGCACATACAAATACACACACATATACACACACACACACACACATATATATATATATATATACACACACACATGCATAGCTGCATACACATAAACATAGACATATATATGTACACATGAATTTATATGCACATGCATAGATACACATACACATACACATTCATTTACATATGAATTTACTTACACATAGATACAAACACAGAACCCATATGAGTTCTAGGACAATTTAATTTCATATTTTCATTTCCGACTAATTATGTCCCTAGTATTTTCAGCAACATAATCTCAATACACATATATTTCAACCAATATGAAATCATGTGTCAGTTAATTACATTCTTTCATGTTTCTAAATCATCATGATGCATATATTATTGCCTCACCTTGGTGCATATTGGTATACATCCAAATATTTGTTATGCATGTAGTATGACCTCACCTTCTTACATTATTAAACACCCAAATATATGATAAAATTCCTTTTGTTCAAGAAACCAGAACATATAAAAGTCATTAAAGTTTTGGACATTGAATTACATCATTGTCTTTATCTTTATCATATCTACCCTAATTCCTATATGATGTATTACAAACCCCAAGAATTTGGGACTTCTCAAATCCAAAAGTCGCAATCAAAAAGCTTCTGACTACACAAAAACTTTGTCTGGATAATGGCATTATACATGTAAATTCTATAGCAGGATGACAACAGGGGAAGTTAATCTGTAAGTTTAAAATATTGATGTGCCAGATAGATTTTAATTCAATTTGTAGAAACTGAATCAAAATAAACATCACCTGTGCCTCATTGACGAAGAAATCTCTGTAAGCACTGAAACCCTAGATGATCTGCGCAAAATCTCTCAAATTCATGAACATCAGATCCGCCTTTCTCTCTACAAATCTCTTGTTCGATCCCCACAATTACGTCGTCCCAATCCCTCAAAAACCCATCCCAATTCGCCTCTCTTGCTTCACATATAGAGTCTAAGATCTCCTGCAACCCAACGATCCGTCGACTAACTCTTCTCCTGAATTCTCTCACTGTCGGGTCAATCCCAGGAACCGAATCAAGCGTAAATAATAACTTCATCAGCGCCTCATTGATCTTGATTCGTTCCCGGTTGTTGTTTCGCACCGCATCAACTGTATCCTGCATTTGGATCAGTCGTTGTAGTTTATCGGCTTGGGAATCGACGGCTTTTACCTTGTTGATTAAGTTGCGGATTGCATGAGATCTGTAAGCTGATTGAATCTTAATAGCAGCGGTGGATTGACGATCGGAGAGGTGAAAAGTGATAGGGATTTCGGTGGAAGTAGTTTGGGGATTAGCGTTAAAATTGTTATCTTCGAAGGCGTAAGTGACGGTGGTGGTGGTGGTGGTGGTGGTGTCGGCGGAGTAGGATGAAGAGGAAGAGTACAATCGGGTTCTTCGAGAAGATTTCATGGCAGAAAAGCACTGCAGAGAGATTGATGGTGATCGAAGTGTGAAAAGAGAGTGATGAGGATCGTATTTTTCTGATATTACGGAACAGCTGTCGGTGATTATTTATCCGTTGGTCACGTGACCGTTCTTATTTTAATGGATCGTCGTTCTTTGGTTACCCGCTTCTTAGGCGGTACCCGTTTCATTTTATAAGAATGGAAATAGTTTCTAGGAAGTTAGAACCACAATCGGAACCATTTTAAATAATTCTTAAATGTTTGGAACCAGTTCCGAAACTGGTGGTTCCGATTTCGGGAGCGGGTAACCCGATTACATTTATTTTGTTAACTTTTATCGATAAAACCGCAATTTATTTCAATTGAAATCAAATCAATACGGACCAAAGACGGACAAAATTAGAATATATTCTAAATCGGTCTAATTAACGCATGCGCGCGCGCGCACACACACACGCGCGCGCGCGCACACACACACACACACACACACACACACACACACATATATATATATATATATATATATATATATATATATATATATATATCCCTATCTTAATAAAAGAATAATTTTAATCTCCTTTTCACATGTATCATCCTATTAAACCTCCTAATTAATGTATATTTTATTCTACTTTTGCCATGTGTCACCCTATTAAACTTCTTCATTAATAATGCCACTTATCAACCTATTACTTCTTAATTTTAAATTTTAAAATTTCTACTCTAATTACATTAATTTAATTACATTAGAATAAAAATTAAATTAAAATTAAAACAAATTATAAAGTGATATAACATATTTATTTAAATTAACAATTATAATTTTATAACAAAAAAATATCTCTTAATTAATAATTTATTTGAAATAATTGATTGATAATTTTGAGTTCTCACTATAATAGTTTAATTAATTTTATAACCGTGGTTATCACGGGTTATAAACTAGTATATATATATATATATATATATATATATATATATATATATATATATATATATATATATATATATATATAAACTGGTTCCGACGGGTACCCAACAGGTAGCGTTTCTGAAAAAATGAGAACCGGAACCGGAACCGCTTAAGGAGGTTCCAGTTCCAAAACCAACAGTTCCGAGCGGTTCCAGTTCCAAAAGTGGGTATCCGGTTCCGATTTTCATCCCTACTCTCCTCGACTAAACTGTATATTTAAAAAAGTGTAGATAAGATCCAAAAAAAAATTTATTTTGCAAAATCTTTTGGATTTGTATAGATGGTCTAAAATTAAAAATATTTGTGGTTTTGTTCCCTGATAAAGTTAAAAAGACGGCTTTACCTTTTTCATTTTATTTTTATATTTTTAATGTTTTTTTTACTATAGTTTTACTATTATTATAATTCGAAATTAAAAAAAAAAATTATCAAACCCCCACCCCTACCTCTCTAACGTACCCTCCTATTCTCTCTCTTTCTTTGACTTTCTCTCTTTCTCTTTCTTTGACTTTCTCTTCATCTTCTTCTTCCTCACATTCACCTACAAACTAAAAACTCCATATACATATCTTAGAGGCACTACAAATAAAATAACATATAGTGGCACACATTTTAATGGCATATGTTTGATGTGCCCTTAAATCACATTTTAATGGCACTTTTTATATGTCACTAAAAACTTTATGTATTTAGTGACACTTAATATTTTATGTTACTAATATTCATAGTTATTTGCGGCATAATAATGTCATGTACCTCTAAAGAATTTTATTTTATCAAACTATTATAACAATTAAGAAAATTCAGTTATAATATTAACATTTTATTTTTTATTTCTCTAGTAATTTTCACTAAATAATTTCAGTTATCTTGGATTGTGATTAACTGTTGGGATTTCCTCTAATCTCTCACCCCTTAACCTAAGAAAATACTGAAACCCCAAATCCCACGCCCGCTTACGTTGATCTAAACATAATGTAACTACCTTATCTGTGACATCCCCATTTTCACGACCAGAAAAGACCGATTTGTTTATGCTTTGTGTGACATCCCTAAAATCACGGCCACAAAAGACCGATTTTGTTTATACTTTATAAAAATCAGAGTTCTTCTTTTAATAAAAATGTTGCGGAATTCGTTCCCAGAAAAACACGATAAATACTTTATTAAAACATTTTCGAAGAAACGTATTTTATTCATTTTAAAACGTTTGGGATGTCATCGTCAATACAGGAACAAAAGCATAAACAGAACTTACATTTATTTACACTAGTGATATACATCTCTTTGATCTCTCAGTGTAATGTGACTTCATATGAACACCTGTGATATAAATAAACTGAGTGGGTCAGGTTGGGAAACTTGGTGAGTACATAGGGATTTCAATCCCACAATGTTATACCATATATATATAGTTTAAAATTCACAAAATATACAATTTCACCATACATATATATATAAACAACTCTTATCCCACCCCATCGATCCTCGCAACGAGGCTATCCATACTCTCGGACCTAAGATTAGTCGTTTTACCTACGCCATACTCCCGGATCAGAAATGAACGAATTTACCGAATCCATACTCTCGGACTAGGGACGAATGACTAATCCATACTCTTGGATTAATGATGAATGATTATGCCTAATCCTTACTCTCGGACTAGGGACAATGACTAATCCATACTCTCGGATTAATAACGAATGATTATGCCTAATCCATATTCTTGGACTAGGAACAATGACTATGTCTAATCCATACTCCCGGATAAGTGACATATACTAACTTCTATTCTCTGAGTTTAACTCACTTGTACTCGTAAGAATATACTACCCAATATTCCTCATTTTTAATTTAGGTCTACTCTTTATCCTAAATTATCAAATATAATCAGGTATGTTCTTTAACACGAATTTCAAGCAACATCAATTAACTCGCACATAAACATATAATTAATAATTCAATCAATACTTGTATTAAAATCATGTTAATGAAAGGGTCTATGCACTCACTTGAAAGGTGGTGACTCAGCACTCGGACAGCGCTTCGATACTCTCAAAACAATTTCCTTCGATAAAACCTAGTATCAATACCACTAGGGTTTAGTCTAACGATAACCGTGACTAATTAATAGTCTAGCTATTATTATTATTATATAAGCGTTAAATAACACTCAATATAACTCATAATAATAGCCCAAATAATTATTTTCAAGTCCTAATAATGTTACTATAATTAATTAGAAGCTATATTAAAACTAGCGTAGGCGTAGCTCACTTATAACGGGTTTTTCGCAAAACCGGGCTTCGCTGGAGCAGCGTTTCCCGAGCCGAAAGGCTCTTTTCTCGGAGTCGTCAGGCGCTCCGGGGCTTCCGCCTCATGCTAGGGAGTTACCCTAGGCTTTAGGGGGTTAGGGAGGCTTAGAGAGAGAGTTTAGAGAGAGAAAGAAGGTTTGGGAGGTGTGAAGAAAAGGCTAGACCCGGCACCTCTATTTATAGTGCAAAAATCTGATGGACTCGCCGAGTAGGGGGGACCTACTCACCGAGTTTGTCCATGTGGTGGCCTTCTGGTGGTGCCACGTGTCCAATTCTGGTGGTGCCACGTCACCCCTATCGCGTATCAGCCTTCAAACTTAGAAAAATCATAACTTTTGCATACGAGCTCCGTTTTCGACGTTCTTTATATCCACGCGTAGGTAAAATCAAGATCTACAACTTTCGTTTGGACTCCATCGGCTAATTCTCGACCGATCTCAAATTTAACAGTAGGAGGCGTTTAGACTGTTAAATGACCGCGAAGAGTTCATAACTCCTTCATCCGGACTCCGTTTTCGTCTGTCTTTTTACCGTTGAGTTGCTATTAATGAGACCTTCAACTCTCATTTAGGTCGCGTAAGCCAAAACTGCTCGAACTAAAATTCGAGTTTCGGGCCGTGCACTACTAAGCCGAATCTTAGAAAAATCATAACTTCTTCATACGAAGTCAGATTTGGGCGTTCTTTTTATCGATGTTCTTAGTTTAACATATTCTATGACTTTTGTTTAGATTTATAAGGCTAAAAAGTCTTCTATCGTAAATTCACTATTTACGTCTCCCGGTGTCGTGCCGGTTTTGCCGTAAAACTTCGGCGGGCCATAACTTCTTCGTTATAGCTCGGATTTCGGCGTTCTTTATATGTACGGAAACCTTGTGACATATTCTACAACTTGGTTAAGACTATTTATTCTAAATAAACTTTTGTCGAAAAGTCATTTTTGACCCCTATTGCCTCTAAATTGACTAGCTCGGATCTGCGGGCGTTACAATTATCTCCCCCTTAGGATGATTACATCCCGGAATCATCAACGAAACAAGGATCGTATAATGACTCCATACGTCATCGCTTCATCCTAGGTAATAATTATAACTTCTTTATTCCTTCAAGTCTGTCTCTTAAACTTATTGACTGTAAGCAGTACTTGATCGTGCACCTGCTCTCTACCTCATATTAGACTCCAAATTATGACCTATCATCATGTGATGCACGTTTAGACTCAGGTCTCTTAAATTCTAAAACATACGAAGCCTTCCTTCATGTTCTAATGTGATATAATCATACTTTAACATGTAGCATTTCTAGCTACCAACGAGCGCGATACTTCTATTGATCGCTTTGATTTTAATCGTTTGCTTTAAGTCGGACGCTACATCAAACTTGGTTCTCTGAACCACGTAACATACTCATCGTAATCGGACTCAATTTGATATGACCACTAGGGTCGGAATATCAACAATCATCTTAGTCATTACCGAAACAATGGTAACAACACACTTGAATAAATCGAAATCAATTACTAGTTTCTTGGTAACCTTGTGACTTTCCCTGATCCAAGCGTGAGTCATGTGCTTCCGGTAGTATACGCATCTACTACCTTTCACACCTACTCATACTCGTCCCAAGTATTGTCTTGCAGTTTTCCCAAGTTATTATCACAAAACTTTTTTTTAACACATAAAAATGTGTCCAAACAATCACAAAATTTTCCCTA